TAAGTCCTGCCCTGATTTGCCTTACTAAAACATAGCACCTTACATTTATCTAGATTAAACTCCATCGACCACTCCTCAGCCCACCTGATCGAGGTCCCGTTGTACTCTGAGGTAATCTTCTTTGCTGTCCACTACACCACCAATTTTAGTGTCACCTGCAAACTTACTAACCATACCTCCTATGTTCACATCCAAATCTCCTATGTGGTGGTGTATCCTTCCTTCTCTATACAGGTGCATCTTTGTTCAGAATCAGCCGAAAACTGGGAAGCATACGCTCTTAAGTGTTCCTCTCCATTAGACCATCTGCGAGGCAACAGGACCCTGATACCGTACAGAGTCAATGTATGTCAGCACCACATCTTGTTTGGCATCGTAGTGTGCCATCACTTTAGATGACAATAGCTGCTTCTTCACTTCCCTAAAAGCTACATTTTGGCTACCAGACTATTTCCAATGCTGACCCTTTTTCACTAGCAAACGTAAAGATGCCAACATGTAGGCCAGGTTATACATGAATTTCCCCAAGAATTCACCGACCCAAGGAAAAACCTAAGCTCTGGTATAGATGTGGGAGATGGGGCATCTTTGATCGTCCTCACTTTATCTTCCAAATGGTGTAACCCATTCCTATCGAGTCTGTAGACCAAGTAGGTCACTTGTGGTGCCTGAAACACATATTTTCCTTCCAATGCCGTACACCCACCTCGGAGAACGTTTAAGCACTATGTCCAAGTTGTCTAAATGCTGTTTATTGGTCTTCCCAGTTATTAGCATGTTATCCGGATAAATGCTGACCTGAGGTAGACATTGCAAAATGTTCTCCATCTTCCGCTGGAAATGGCATAGGCTGATGATATCCCAAAAGACAGTCTCATATATTGGTACAAATCCTTATTGCTATTAATTGCAGCATACCTCTGGGAATCCTCATCTAATCACAACTTAAGGTACGCATGGCTCATGTTTGGCTTTGTGAAGGACAGCCACTCTCTTCCCCCAATCCTGGCCAGTTTTGTGTACAAGTCCTCTATGTGAGGGATTCGGTATTTATTCACTTGTGAAAAGCAGCTTATCGTTTGTTTGAAATACCCACAAAGGTGAACCAATCCATCAGGCTTCACAATCAGTACAACCAGTGCTGCCCATTCTGCAAACTGCACTGGTTTGATGATTCCTTCACTTTCCACCTCTCTTGATTTCTGCCTCTGCTTTTCCATGTAAGGCAAATGGCACTGGGTGGGCCTTGCAGAATTGTGGGAATTGCTGTTTGGTCAACATGTAAGGTGGACTTGTCTCTTTTGATAATTCCTAGTTACACCTGAAAAACTTCCGGGTATTTAATTACAACTTCACTCAGGTAGCCATTTCCTAATTGAAAAATGTTGAGCCAATCAAGTTGAATCTTTCTCAACCAATTCGCTCCATCAAGCTTGCTGAGCTTTTTACATCAATTAGCAGTGACTGAACCAGCTGCTTTTCGTAACAGACTGGAACAAAAATTGTACCCTTAATCTGTAGGGTTTCCCCAGTATGGGCTCTCAGGACTTAAGGGTTGGAGTCCAGAGTGAATTTTGGTAAAGACTGGTTCCGCCCATATCGACCTCTGTTAGAACTGGGTGACTATTTGACTTAATGTTTATTTTTATTGGCTCTGATTTGGATGTTGCCAAGTAATACAACTTTTCCAAACCAGATGTAGGTGGATTTTCCAGGGTGTGCACCCTCCTGAATACCAGCCTATGAGATCTCTTACTCAAATCAGGCCTAGTGGGACTCTTTTGCTAACTCAAGTCCACATACTTGCAGCAACTACAATGGGCTGCCAGTCTGGATCTTCAAGAAAATCTTAACCGATTGGCCAAGGCTTAGCTTTGTTTTGAGGTTTTGCTGTGGGCTGACTAGGGTCCCTCAGTTCAAGCTATGTCCTAAGTCAGACTATGCAACTGCCTTCACTCAAGTACTGTTCTCCAAGCTTAGTCGGACTGGCGAGGATATCCACATCGTTCGGTGTATCCTGTAATTCATAATCTCCACTTGTTGCATTTTCTAACAACAAAGCCAGATGTAGTGCCTGTTCGAAGTTCAGTTGGGCTTCAGCTTTGCATCGTTACCTCATTGATCCCACATACCAAATAATCGTTCAGCATCTTACTTAGAGTTAAACCAAAATCACATGCTTCTGTCAGTCATTTTAACCTTGGGCAGGACTTATACCCTTAGTATCTGGTGCCTCTGGAAAAGTTAGGCTCTGAATAACCGAAAAAGCTGCGGATCCACACACTGTCAGGAGAATTACTTGTTACTTTTCATCTGCACCAATGTCATTTGCCTGGAAAAAAAACACGCATTCTTTCCACGTACTGGGCCAGTCTTTGATGGCAAGATCAAATAAGTCAAGCTTCCCAAACTGTAATTTGATGCAGAAATGTTACCACAATTCAAAGACGAATGAATTTTTTCAGGGGCATGTTTTTCTCTCATCAATACTGAAGTAACTCGACGAAGGCCAGAATCCCTCGTCTCCCACAGCAGCCTAGAATGCAACTCATCCGGTCCTAGCGATTTATCAACTTTTAAATCCATCAAAAATCTCCAATAGCTTCTTGCTTCTTATAACAATTTGCTCAAGAACTTCACAGTCCATCATCTCAGATTTTCTACTGACATCCTCCTCCTTCTGAATAAAACAGATGTAAAGTACTCATTTTACACTCTACCAATGTCACCAGGATTCACACACAGATTACCTCCTTGGTGATAATAAGCCATGTCTTTCTCTGGTTGCTCTCTTTTCCTTGTAACTCTATGAAAAATTTTCCGTCAGCCCAAAAAAATCCATTGACCACTACTCCTCATTTCTTATCAGTCAGCAAGTTTTGAATCTATGTCACTCTTGTTTCTTTTATTCTATAAGCTATAAGTTTTCTAACAAATCTGTTGTGTACAACTGTATCGAACACCTTCTGGGAGTCCATGTACACCATCAACAGCATTACCTTCATTTATTCTTTCATTGCCTTCTTCAAAAAAATTCAGCAATTTAGATCAACAAGGTTTCACACTTTAAAATCTGTACTGGCTCAATTTAATCAACCCACTTTTTCTATGTTACTAAACAAACTGTAATTAACTGGTCTGTATTTGCTGGGCTTATTCTTCCAATTTTTCTGAATAAAATGTGAAGTTTACAATTTTCCAGTCTTCTGGCACCTCCTTTTAGTCTAAGGAAGACTAGAAGATTATGGTCAGTGCTCCTGCAATTTCCACTCACTTCCTTCAATATCCTTGGGTGCATCTTATCCAGTCCAGGAAAGTAACAGTTTACACCCCTGTCAACATGGCCTAGACATCATCTACCTTATTGGTAACGACAGATGCAAATTATTAATTTAATATTTCAGTGATGCTTTCAAACCCATCTTTTTTTGGTCACTAATGGGTTCCACTCTTCCTTTACCAAACTTCTACTATTTATACGCCTAAAGAAAATTTTGGGATTCCCATTTGTGTCGGTGCCAGTATTTTGTTGTAATGCCTCTTCTTTTCTCTAATACGTTTTTCCACCTCCCCTCTGAACCTTTTGTCTTCCTGGCTTTAAGATGTATATTCTGTCTAACACCTGTCACCAGCACACTTTTTTTTCTTTACCTTATGGCTCCTTTGTCGTCCAGTGAACTTTGCATTTGTTTGCCCTACTGTCCCATTTGACAGAAAATATCTTGACTGTACTAGAACCAATTTCTCTTTGAAGTGAGTCCATTGCTCAGTTACAGTTTTTCAAACCAACCTTTTATTCAAGACGATCTGGCCCAGCTCTGTTCTTGTCCCATTGAAGACAACACTCTGCCAATTTATTTTCTTACTCTGGATCGGCCATTGACATTTTCAACCATCATTCAAAATCTTATGAGATCATTGTCATCTAAATGTTTCCCAAAGTTATCCATGCAGAATGTGGATCTTCTACAAGGTCATATTTCAGAGTCATGATGTAGAATGATGCAATGTATTATTCACAGTGTTCCAAAACATGGAAACTATAGATACCCAAAAAACTTAAAAACAAAATGCTACCGAGGCTCAAGGGTCTGAGGAATTTTCTGCAAACATTCAACAAATGTGGATAAAGCCATCAGATTTTATATAGATCGAAAAAAGACTAAAAAAAAAGAAACCTGTTAAAAGTAAAATTGTTAAAGTAAAGCCACAGACAGAGAGAATAGTGTGCTCTCGGTGTTCATGTCCAATACGTTCTTTAAGCATCTAAATAGAGATGGGCAAAGTTCTCGGTTTGGAAGAAGAAAGTGAGGAACATGCCTCATGTAGTTTAAGTGCCACAGGTGAGTGCAGAAGAGTCTGAGGTACTAAAGTTCCAGAGGACATGGAACAGAACAAGGGAAAACCACATCAGAAATACCAGAAAGAAGAAACGTAGTACAAAGAAACTTCAAAGTCTCTCGTGAGAACCACTAGAACATTAAAAATTAAGTTAGTGCAGATTTGTCCGTTTAAAATTCAAACAAACAATTTTTGCAGTTTCCAAATCTCATGTCATCTGACCTAGCAAGATAATCTTAAAACTCAACAAAAAAAAAGCAACTCCTCAGGTACTGAAGCAGCCCATGTCTATATGCAGCAAAAACTGGACACATCCAAGCTTGGACTGATAAACGGCAAGTCATATTCACACCAGACAGATGCCAGACAATGACCATTACCGACAAGAGAGAATCAAACTATCGCCCCCTTTATGTTCATGACATTACCTGAATCTCTCATGACCAACATCCTGGAGGTTACCTTTGAACAGAAGCTGAATTGGACTAGCCATATAAATATAGTGACTAGAAACGGCTTTGGTATCTTAAGAAAAGGAGCCTTGGTTTTAAGCCGATTCCCCCCAACATCTGTTCATGATTCAGCTATAATGCAGTTTCACTTCTTGAATTTTGACATCCACTGTACAAAACAGAGGTAAGAACTAGTCTCAGACTCACCTGCCATAGTGCATGATTGAGCCATAATCATACACTGTGCCTAGATTATTTGTCTTCAATAGATTAAAATTATGTTCTCTTCCTGTTAAAAAAAACATTGAGAATTGATTCAAATAAAATTATTTTCATTGACATAGAAATGTCAACTGATAAAACTGGCAGAAGCTGATGGAAAAATTGTTAAAAAGTTGGCATCACTCAAAACAATGTAACACATTAAAAATAGTGCCAGTTTTCAAATTGTTGACAGATGAAGATAAAGGGAGGGTGGTATAGCGGCAATGTCGTCCAGAGCCCTAGGCTAATATTCTGGGAATATAGGTTCAAATCACAAAATAGCAGTGGTGGAATTTGACTTTGATAAAATTCTAGAATTTAAAAAACAAACTAGTTTAATGGTGGCCATGTACCTATGGTCAATTATGATTAAAAACCCATCTGGTTTACTAATTCCCTTAAGGGAAGGAAATCTGGCCAAAATGTGACTTCAAACACACAACAATGCGGTTATCTCTTTAGGGCTTTGTGGGAAATTAGAGATGGTCCATAAATGCTGGTTTAGCTAGTGACGCACACATCTGATGAATGAATTTAAAAAAAAACTTACACCTCACTGAGGTACTGTGCTGAAAATCAAGCCCTTCTATTTCCAAAGTCATCACAAAAGTTAAAGATGGAAAAGTACACCTAATTCCCCAATTTGCCTGACTTTTAGGCACAGGTTGACAGAAAGCATAGATCAGGTTTCCGCACTTAACAAGAATTACTATTTATTACAAATAAATATACCTTAGCTACAGGTAAACAATAATGAACTATTAATATATTACTCCACTAATTAAAACTCTAAAACCCTTACACACACAGACAAAGAAAACAAGATATGGATATTATAGGCAGAGGTAAAGATGAGGAAGGTAGTTCAGTGGTTCCTGTTTAGAGGATTCACAGAGATAAATCTTATACTAATCAGAATACTGCTTCTCAATCTTCCTTCTCTGGATTCTTTCACGTGTTTGCAAGAAGTATGGGGTGACTGTTTCACATTTACAACGGCTTCTAGCGTATTACTTAAAAGTCACAGCTTACAGTAACTGCTAAAGAAAGTATAAATTGATTTTCTCCAAGCTTAAAGTATTTTCTTTGCTGCAGAAAACAGAAGTAGCTCTTGAGCATGCACAGAATTGATGACTTCTCTGTCTCTTGTTCAAAGCTTTCTTATGGCGACATCTTAGGTATAAGTACCTAGGTACAATTCTTGGATACAGCAAAGGAATAAAAGTAGTTGCATTACTTACAGAGTTGAAAAATAAGTTAAAAATAGGAAAATATTAAAGGGTTAACATTACAATTAGATAGGAAATTTTAAATAGATGTTACAATGTAGCAGCTCAGTGCAGGGCCTCTGCACATGGTTTGACTGTCCGCGCCAGACCCCAGTCCAATGCCATCCCCGTTCCGCTCTTAGCCCCATTCCGCTCCATACTAGCACTCAGCTGCTCTAAGGTAAGTGGCAGGAATGCCCCCTCACAACAGTTTCCAGTCAGGACTCGATGCCTGCGCGCTGCTCTGGGGCTGCTTCCCATTTCCTGTTGCAGGGCTTCTTACCTGTGCTGCTCTGGGCTTGCAGCCACATACTGCTCCAGGGCTCGCTGCTCATGGTGTTCTGGGGCTCACGGGGTGTGCCTACAGGCCCCAGAGCACAAGGCCATGCTGCCCGTGCTGGTTCCACAGCGGGACCCAGCCCGTGCTCTCTCCGGTCTGTGCTCATTCCGCCACAGGACTCATCTTGTGCTCGCTCCGTTTCACCACGGAATACAGCCTGTTTGCTCTACGACTCCACTCTCCAGGGGCTGGGGGGTAAGAAAGGGAAACCTACAAAGAGGAGAGAAAAAGAAAGACGGAAACGCGGTAAAAGGACTGGCGAGCAGAGGAGCTCCGACCAGAGCGTCCTACTTTACTGCCATCTACTATCAAGATTACCCAGGCATCTCCTGTCTGAAAAATGCAAATTAAATCCAATCAGACCAATTATTGCTCCATCTGTCAAATCTGGATCATCAGCTAAGAGATTAAAAGTATCACCGATACTTGGCTATGAAGCACTTACAGAGCAATACCTCACTTAGTTTGAGACATGTCAGGAATATTCAGCTCCTAACTCATTATAGCTTTGCTCCTAACACAAGCAAAAGTAGAGTAAGTCTGATTAGAAAGTTTGCAGATGACACCGAAATTGGTGGAGTTGCAGACAGTGAGGAGGATTGTCAAAGAATACAGTGGAATATTAATAGATTGCAGATTTGGGCAGAGAAATGGTAGGCTGAGTTTCATCCAGACAAACACGAGGTGATGCATTTTAGAAGATTAAATTCAGGTGCTAATTATACAATAAACTGCAGAACCCTTTGGAGTACTGACATACAGAGGAATCTGGATGTACAGGTCTCCAGATCCCTGAAAGTGGCAACACAGGTAAATAAGACGGTCAACAAAGCATACAGCATGCTTGCCTTCAACAGCCGGGGCATCAAATATAAAAGATGGCAAGTTGTGTTACAACTGCATAAAACTTTAGAGACAAAAATACTGCAGATGCTGGGATCCAAGGTAGACAAACAGGAGGCTGGAAGAACACAGCAGACCAGGCAGCAACTGGAGGAAAGGAGCAGTCAACATTTTGGGTATTACCCTTCTTCAGGGCTTGAGTCCTCCACCACCTCCAGGGCCAGTACATCCTTTCTCAACTAAGGAGACCAAAACTATACACAGTATTCTAGGTATGGTCTCACCAGCACTTTTTTCAGGGCTTCCTATAGCACAACAATCAGAACAGTACATAATACTCCAAAAGTGATCTCACCAATGTCCTGTATAACTGCAACATGACGTCCAAACTCCTATACTCATTGACTGAGCAATGAAAGCAAGCATGCTGAATGTTTTCTTTATCACTCTGTCTACTTGTTATGCAACTTTCAAAGAAAGATGAACCTGAACCCCTAGGTCTCTCTGTTTGACAACATTCCCCAGGCCCTACCATTAACTGTTAAAAGTCCTGCCATATTTTTGTCCTACCAAAATGCAACAACTTGCATTTATCTGAATCAAACTATATCTGTCACCCCTCAGCACATTGGCCTAATTGATCAAGATCCCTTCGTAATCTTATATAACCTTCTTCACTGTCCACTATACCATCAATTTTGGTGTCAACCGCAAAATTCCTAACCGTGCTTCCTAAATTCTCATACAAATCGTTTTATATCAATAACATGCAACAGTGAATCATAGAATTCCTACAGTGTGGAAACAGGTCATTTGGCCCAAGAAGATCGCACCACCTCTCCAAAGAGCATCCCAGCCAGACCCATCCCCCTACTCTTTCCCTGTAATTTCCCAAGTCTAATCCACCTAACTTACACATCCCTGGACACTACAGACAATTTAGCATAGCCAATCCACCTAACCTTTGGACTGTGGGACGTAACTGGAGCACCCAGCAGAAACCTAAGCAGACACGGGGAGAATGTGCAAGCTCCACACAGACAGTCATTCAAGGGTGAAATCGAACCCGGGTTCCTGGCGCTGTGAGGCAGCAGTGCTAACTGCCAAGCGACCGTGCCACCCCTGTAGTGGACCCTGTACTGATCGTCACAAATAAGAGGCTGAGGGGCGACTTTATAAAATCATGAGGGGAATAGGTAAGATGAATATCAAGGTCTTTTTCCAAGGATACAGGAGTCTAAAACTAGAGAGCATAGGTTTAAGGTGAGAGGAGAAAGATTTAAAAGGCACCCAAGGGGCATCTTTTTCACAAAGGGTGGCGTATGTATGGAATGAGCCAGAGGAAGTGATAGAAGGGGTACAATTACGACATGAAAGAGAGATTTGGACACATACATCAATTGGAAAGATTTAGACAGATATGGACCAAACTCAGGCAAATGGGACTAGAGGGCATAGCTGGAGGATAGAGTCTAAAAAAAAAGGGAGGTTATGTTGCAGTTGGATAGAATGCTGGTGAGGCTACACCTGGAATACTGTGTATAGTTTTGGTCTCTTTACTTGAGAAAGGATGCACTGGCACTGGAGGGGGTCCAAGTTCTCCAAGTGATCTTTATTGGTCTTCCCGGTTATTAGCACATCACTCAGGTAAATGATTTAGCAGGAGTAAAAGTTACAGCTTCATCTATAATCATACGAAGTCTGAGTAACATGAAAGATAAGGAACAGTTACAGGAATTGGTTCCAGATATGTTTTGCATCAGAGAAACGGATAAACAACTACCATCATCAGAGGTGTAAGCAATACTACAAGTAGCTGTTAGAGTTACTGAAACGTTGTTTAAGAATGAGGGTAATTCAAAAGAAGTGTTTGGCATGTCTTCATTAATTTTGGCTCAGAATGTACAACCATCACTGAGGCTAAAGGAGTTCTGGACTGCTACTATATTAACAATGGAATTCTGATGAAGAAGTATAGAAACCCTCACAGCCCTGCGATGAAGATGGTTGTTCATAAAATAGCACTGATGCCTAGATATCTTAAGGAGAAATTGTGAGTGGCACTTCAAAATTTCATGTCAGGACTCGTACAAACATGGAAACCTCAACCATGATAAATAGATGTTTTACCTGGCTAGGACGTCATTAGGAGATAGTGCAATTCTGTAAAAGGGAGCGTACATTTCAGGAAGTAGGGATTCCTCAAAATGTAATTAAACCCCTATCTTTAATACCCATACCATTTTTTGAAGAACCATTCAATTCAATGTTAGTAGATTGTGTAGAACCATTACCCAAAACGAAACCAGGAATACCACTAAATTCTTACAATTATGGATATAACAACCTGATTTTGTGAAGCTGTTCCTTTGAGGACAATTATAGCTGATGTTAGCAAGGGAAAAGTAAGCTGAGTATTTCATCCATTTTAGCCAACTAATTGAAATATAATCTGATTAAGGCTCATACATTATGTCTAATGTTTTTGATGACATCGTCAGCAGTTCAGGCGTAAAATATCATATCATTCACAAACACAGAGATAGGATGACCCTTTTTCTGAAGAAGGATCTG